CAAATTCGGTACTAAGGCATTTCTGGAAGGTTTTATAACCAGAAGAACAGTTTATAAAGGACATTCAAAGAATACAAATGGTACAAGGGGTGTTTAAGAATACCCAAGGATTAAATAAGATGCATTTCTTTTCTGATAAAGGCTATATACACTAGGGGTGGAAACAGGTTTTCCCACCAAATTCTCCCTCAACAACCTGGTGTGGTCAATGGGAAGATGACAGATATGGCTACAGTCAGGAGGCAGACTCAGAGCCTGTCTGACTCAGGGAACCAACAAGTGCAGCGGGGACAGGAGAAGCCCCCTGCCTCCTTAGCCCAGTGCAGGGTCAGGCAACTGGAGCCAACACCTGTAAGTGTATGAAGAATAAAAGAATACAAAAAAGACTCCATGTAAAATCCCCTAAGTGCAAAGTGACTCCAAAGGGATAACTAAAAACGGTAAAGAGCTAACCAAATTAATGCCTCATACCCGTGCTATGGTACCTAACAAGGATCTGTGGAGAAAACAGTTAATACGAATGGACAAAACCTTCCCATGCTTTGTGAGACCTTGTCTATGATTGATTTAATATGTGTTAACCTTACTTCGAGTGTTTTACAGATGTGAAACCCATTTGAAAGATACCTGAAGAAGCAAAGGCCAGCTATAGCTATGATTCCTGGGAGTTTTATGGTTGGGTAAGATAAAGACAGAGACTCCCAAACTGTACAACTGTTAAGAAACTCTACAGTACCAGGGATGGGTTGCCCCCCACCCCCCGCCATGAACTGTTGGTCAGAGAGATCCTAGAGGTCCTCCAATTCACCAAGGCTATTGCCATTAATGTTGGTTGTACACTAGAAAGGTCGGTAAGGCCATGTTGCTGAAGACACTGCATGTTGTGAGCATGGAAGAACACTCCATGCCACTGCATGGATGAGTTTCATATTGCCAGAAGGCTCTGTATGCAATGGTTGGGGAAGAAAGGATCCCCTATGATTCTACTCAATGATGGACCCTGTGTGCTGTACACTATGGACATGTCAAGCAATACCTGCAAGTGCAATAATGGCTCAACCAACATATGTACAACTGACAAATTTCTAATTGGATAAGGCCCACTCCTAGGGGTGGAACACACATCTGGTGCTGTAGACCAGGCCAACACCTTGTGTCGAGAAAGGCTACAGGCCCTAGTGGCATCACTAATATACTGTTTAATGAATATAGCACACCTACTGGGATATCCTCTAGGCATCTGTATTTACAGTCACGTTTGTTTAAATGTGTCTACTTCCCTCCATTTGTCTTTGTAGTAGAAGAAACACACTGAGATAGATCAGTGGCCATGGCTTAAAGATGACTAATGGGGAGGCCCAAGAAGCCACTATCTCGCCATGAAACAAGAGAGATCACTCTACATCTGTCATCCCCTCCAAGGCTCAGGGACCTGCAGGTCATCCTTTGTGTCTTGGTTGGGATTTGTGCTTTTCCAAGTCTTGGCCCTGGGCTGCTGCAAATTCACATGAGATTCCTACGTCTCGCCCTCCGTCTTAGTTATTTTCTATTGTGATAAAACACTGACCAAAACTAACTTGGAGAGGAAAGAGTTTATATCATCTCACAACTCCTTGCTCATAGTCCATTACTAAGAGGGAGTCAGGGCAGGAACTCAAGGCAGGAACCTGGAGGCAGGAACTGAATCAGAAACCATGGAGGAACACTGCTTACTGGATTGTTCTCCCTGGCTTTCTCAGTTACTTTTATTAGTCAGCTCAGGCCTACCTGCCCTGACACCATCTCTAGTAAGCTGGGCTCTCCCATATCAATTAGCAATTATGAAAATGCCTCACAGACATGACCATAGGCCAACTTGATGGGTAATTTTTCTCAACTGAAGTTCCTTCTTCCCAGACATGTCAAGCTGATACACCAGAGCAAACCAACACATCTCAGAGTTCTAGTTCCTTCTGGTATCTGGCTAATGTTGGAGACACATGGCTGGTGAAACTTTCAGTCCCCTTTAGAAACCAGTAAATACATCATGCAAAACAATGTGTCAAAATATAAAAAAAAAACTCCTCTGGTTTTAGGTCTGATATCACCTCCTTAATAGGACATAAAAATTCATCAGGAGCCCAGTATGGTGACACACACCTTTACTCCCAACGCTCAGAAGGCAAAGGCAAGCATCTGTCTCTGTGAGATGAAAGCCAGCCTGGTCTACACTGTAAGTTCCAGGTCAGGTGGGGCTACAGGGAAACCCCGTTTCAAAAAGATTAAAAAACTCATTGACTTTGTCACATGGCAATAGAGGTCATATTGGAATCTCCTCTGTCTTTCCCATTTTTATGATACCATTAGGCATCAGAAAGGTAAAATCCAAAAGGAAAAACATGGGGAGAAGAGGTTGTGATATGTGACTGAATGCTTGTGGTACAGGTAAGTCTCAGGTAGCAAGATCCCCTGAAGGCTCAGCGATACTGGAAAGTTTTATGGGTGCCACCATCCTAGTTTATGCCACATGGATACATTAATCAAAGTCGCACGGTCACTGTCATTTTGAAATGTCAGTGACTAAGATGGTAACCAAGTCACATGGCTATTCCCATATTTATGATGTTATTTTCCAAGATTGCAGCCAGGTCATACAGTTGCCCCCATCTTGATGAGGGCAGTCAAGCTACATAGTTACTTTTTGCCTGTGGTGAGTTCAGCTCCATGGTAGAAAGAGCTCATGCCCCAAGAGGACATGAGTCTTTGTGATCCATGAATCTTATAGATTAAATGTGGAGTGCCACCCCCTTTTCTTTAACAAGGTACTGAGTTATATTACACTGGTATAGCAAGAGAAATTACCCTCATGTACATAGGCACAAAATAGCAATGCAAAGAAATAATGGAAGGAATTCATTTGTAAATGCCAAGCAATGTTATCTGAATCTGTTCGATCGTCTCTCAACTTATAGAAACAAACTGTTGCTGGGAAAGGAACCTGTGAAGGAAGTGGAAGAAATGGGGAGGGTGTCTAGTGCTCAGAGTGTGGTGTTATTGCTGAGAACACATGAAAAAAACTGGGTAGGAGATTGTGACCTTGACATCATTTTGTAACACCTGCTCATGGTGTGTGACTCCCTGTGTTGGTTGGAATTTAAGTTCCTTAGAAATTAACTTATTAAAAATAGTTAATCCTAATTGAAGACCACAGAAGCCTTCTGTGATGCTTTTACCCAGTTAGAAAAGCAACTGCCTGCGGAACACCTTGTCCGAGGCAGGGCTGGTGCCGATTATTATGATCATTACGGCTGGGGGACCCAAGCCCCTTAGTCTGTTTTCTTCCTTTTCCCCAGGCCTAATCCAAAGACTCCCAGGTTATCTGAGGGAACTTCAGTGGCCATCAGTTAGCCACAAAAGCCTGAGAAAAGAGCAAAAAGAGGCTTTTCTTTCCTCCGAGGGAGTCAGAGCACCTTTTGAATTGCTTATAGCGCCAAGACAAGGCAGAAAGATAAACCCTACCCATTTTATTTCTTCGGAGATGCTCAAATACTGTATGTTACTGAAATCTGGGCATCTCTTTGTGGTTACCAGATGATACAGGGGAAACTGGGGTCCCTTCTTGGGGTACCTATTCTCATTAGTAAAATAATTTAAGAATGGACTCAAACAGAAGCTTGAAGATAATTTTAGTGGTGTTTAAAAGAAAAACTTTTGCCGTGCAAGGTGGCACATGCTTTTAATCCCAGCACTTGGGAGGCAGAGGCAGGTGGATCTCTGTGAGTTCAAGGCCAGCCTGATCTACATAGTGAGTTCCATCACAGCTGGAGCTACAGGGAAACCCTGTCTCAAAAAGACCGAAAAAAAAAAAAAAAAAAAAAAAAAAAAAGCAAAAAAAGAAAGAAAGAAAAATTCTCAGGGCAGAAAAGAAAAGTTTTAATTCTCAGCAGCTGCCTGGAGGAGGAGAATGAAGAGTAGTGAAAACAGTCATGGCATTTTAGGCCTGCATGAAGGTCAGACACAAGGCAGACTAGCAGAGCAGCTACATGTGAGGGAAGGGAACTTTAGAGGAAGAGTTAAAAAAATACCACCCAAATATTGGGAAAGCCCAAAGTGTTAGGGAAAGCATGCTTAGAAAAGAGATAACATAAATAAAAGGGAGGTTATGCTTTTCTGAAAGTCTATGGCCTGATAAGCTAATGCATTAAGTGTGAAAAAAACATAATATTTTATTAAAGAACTAATTACTCTATCTCTCTCTCTCATGGCTTAAGGTGATGCTGCAGTCTAGGGCGGTCCTGGGCAAGGTGATTAACCCTGCCCAAATGGAATGCTAGGTCTCTACCCAGGCTCTTAGGGGGTCTTTCTTGTCACTGTAATACTGGCTAACTTTCCATCTTGTCTTTGTCAACCTCCCATCACTTTGAGTAATACAATTACAATGAGAATTAATGGCATGAATTGACCTAAAGCAGAAGTCTAGCTAGCAGAGGTGAAGAATTCACCATACTTCCGTTTGCATTAGTGTAACTTCAAATCCTTTTCATTAGCTCTTACAAAAATGCCATAGTAAACAATACACGTCTACGGAACAGAAAAGTGAAAAAACATTTCATGTTGGACTACGGCAAATTATACATTCTGAAAAGGGCTGCACGCCATGTAACAGGTTAACACTGGTTTGATTTTCAGCAAATTTGCAGATCAATGTCCACAAGTGAGATCATAGGGCACAAACAAGATTCCTTAGAAGGTAGATCTTTAACAGATTCAATTACAGAAAACAAAACAACGGAAAATTCTTCTTGGTGATATTAAAGTAAACAGGTTTCTACTTGACAGCAAAATCATTAGAGGTTATGAGTTCTGTGACTCTGATGAAGAAGTAAAGAGGAGCACTAAATTAAGAAGAGCTCAGAATAGATCTTATTCAGTGTGTTTAGTGAAACACAACTTTAACATCATTTTGTACTTACCTAAGTGTAATCTTTTTGTCTCACCTTGGAGGTAGTCATTTAGCCCAAATGGCTTTTCAGGAACTCCTAAATCAAGTTGGCAGCCTGGGGAGATTCCAGATCCTACAGATGACTTTCCTTTTGATCTGCAGTTCCTTGATATACTCTCATTTTCTAGTGGAGAACTTCACTGCAGCCATACCTAGTCATCGCTGCTGGGTCCCCATCCTTGACAATGACACTGTCTCTGATAATGACAGTGGGATCCTGAGCCACGATGCCCACCTGAGAATCTCTATCCCACTGGATTCTAACTTGAGGCCAGAGAAATGTCGTCGCTTCATCCGACTACAATGGCATCTCCTTCATTTGAATGGAAGCTTTTCCAATGTGACTGTGCCAGACACAGAGCCCTGTATGGAGGGATGGGTATATGACAGAAGCACATTCATTTCCACCACTGTGACTGAGGTACGTGTATTCATTTCTACCTCCTAAGTTCATGATGGTTGCTTAGCAATAGTATATAAATAGTGTACATACTTTGAGTTTATTCTTCATTCATTTACTTAATATTAATTGTTGCTCTATTAAATTTGAGACACACATTAGGGACATACTCTTTCTTTCATTTCATAATGGGGATGACCACAGTTTAAGAAGTACTTCTTAAATGCCAAGTCAGTTTATGTAAATAAATTATCTGCTTTCTTGGTAATTTTATGACCAATCAATATTATTTAGCATTGATTTCAAAGTAAAAACATTTGGGAGATTGAACACAATACAAGTCTGCGAGGACTATGAATCAGTAGTTGACTGCTTTGTTGTGTGTGTGGTCAAGGATCCACTCTAAAGGTGCAAAAAAATCATAACAGTTTATTTTCTTTTATAGGCTTGGGTGTGTCTAAGTGTTAGAGCACTTGCTTCATGTACAAGGCCATGGATTCCACCCTTACCTTCACCATAAATTAATATATAGATAAATAAACATATGATAATAAATAAATAAAAAATAAACAAATAGTGCCAGTGCCTAGGCCCTACTCCTAGAGGAATCATATGCGAAGTTGTGCACTGATACATAGGATCCAGTAATTCTTTAAGGACTTCAAACTATATAGTACTCTATGGCCAAGTTTAGAAATTTCTTAACATGGGTTATAAGTCATTAGTATTTACAGGATTAGTAGAAGATTCCTGGAGAAAGATGTGTTTAAGCTGAGTCCTGGATAGTAGAAGTCAGGTTCTGGAATGCCAGAGAGGAAGATAGGGGTCTTGTTAATGAAAATTGAATGTCATGTTGAAGGTCTTGAACAGATTTTACTGAGAAACTCTAAACTTTGCTGTTCTGTTTTTTGTCTCTTCCAGTGGGACCTGGTGTGTGCATCTCAGTCAATGAATTCGGTAGCAAAATTTGCATTTGTCATTGGTGGTTTGATAGGACATATTCTAGGTGGCTATTTATCAGACAGGTAAGTGGTTTAAACCTTTCTCTACATTTGAGTATTTTAGTCAGTTATGAGTCATTCATTCATTATGAAGTAGTTGTTGCAAATCATATTATCCTAGGGGTAACTTTGACCTTAGAGATCTGGGAACACAAATGGATTTCAGTCAGTGTTTAAAAGCCTCTTTGTTGTGTGGACACAGAAATGGAATCTATGAGACAGGGAAGATATTGAGAGATGAGGTACTACAACATGATTTAGAAAGATGAGAAGGGTGAGCTATGGGAATGAGACAGACATGCTTTACCACATTGGTTTCATTGTACTTGAATATCTTAGTGAGGAACACAGCATTGTTGCTCTTGGTCAGGCCCCTGCTCGCTCTCCCTCCTGAGCCCTGCACTGAATAGCTGTGGTGTCCAGAGAACGGACATCTCCATTGCTCAAGCATAGAGGGGAGAATGTCCTTTTGTACCTGTGAAATATGTAGCAGTGTGCCACTGACGTGTTGGGAAGCTATGGGTGTCACCTTGATTTTTACTTCAGTCATATGAAGTACTTAATGACAACTGTAACCACAATTTGTGACATAAAATTTTGGACTCTGTGCCTGAACACATCTTCTTTTAAGTAGACAAGCATTTCTGCCAAGCAAGTTGCTGCATTTTCACAGGGCAGAAGAGGCAAACCCTGGGCTCTCACATAGTACAAAGTGCACATAGGTCCCCTATTCCTCTTTTATAAAGTTATTAATGCCGCAATAATGGCTCCTCCTTCATAATCATGCATGTAAGCTCCCATTCCTTAGTACTTTCTCAGTAGTATCAGGCTGGTTGGTAAGTTTCCCAGTATGAATACAGGAGGGACACAGTTAAACCATAGCACGTGTGTACTCTGCTCTCCAGGGGAACAATATGTTATAAATAACAATAAAGCCTTGATGGTTGGGAGGATTGTTTAATCGTAAACCCTGAATCCTGTGGTATGTTCTTTTTAAAAATTTATTTGACACAGGGTGTTACCAAATAGACCAGGCTGGCCTTGAATTTACAGAGATCTACCTGTTCTGCCTCATGAATGCTGGGACTAAAGGTGTGCACCACCACACCCAGACACTGTGGCATACTCATTACTTGTTTTGACTACTGAGATAGTGATGTTAAAATATCTCACTTTGTGAATGTGCTTTTCTTTCCCTTTAATTTTGTACTTTTTGTTCTTGTATTTGAATGTGTTACATTTATATAAGTGTAAATTTGACATTTCAATATTATAATTTATCCCTCCTTATCTTAATACTCATCAAAGTTATTCATTTATTTTTCATGGTCTTTTGAAGCTCGAGGACAATTTTATTTAAAGAAATTTTATTTAAAAGAAAAGCCCCAGGGCAGACAAGCTGTAAATCTTGGCAACTGCCCAGGAGGAGGAACATGGAGAAAAGAAGGAAAAGAAACTATGCCATTTGAGTTAAGGCAATGTGAAGGGCAGCTATGTGGCAAGCTAGCAGCCACATGAAGGGGAGGAGACCCTTAGAGAAAGACTAAAGAAGCCACAGAATCATAAAAATGTACTTAAGCTCCGGCCAGCATCCGAAAGAGACAGGAGATAAGAAGAGGGAAAAGTTATGCCTTTCTTTTTAGAAACTTTTTTATTGAGTTTTTAAAATTTCATGCATTTCCAACCCAAATCCAGAGGCCCTTCCCCCGTCCATGCTTCCCCCATCCCCCCACTGAACCCTATAAACTCTGTGATACATGCTGAGTTCTATTCATTCAAGTGTTTGTACCCAAGTGTCCTTCAGTGTAAATGCATCCACTGCAGTCTAGTCAGCCCATCCAGTGGTTGTATGTAAGTCACACCCTCCCTCATCCAGCAGCAATCAGTCTCAAATAGTTCTCAATCTAGTGCTGGCCTGCCACCTATTTTTTACCTCCCCTTTGGGCCCTTGTTTGATTGAGCTGACATGGGTCCCACACTTGATGCCACAGCTACCACAGGCTCACATAAGCAAGCCTCCAGTGGCTTGGAAGCCTCCGCCTCCCTGTGTTCATGAACTGGCCCTGGCTCTTACAGTCTTTCCACCTCCTCTTCCACAATGGTCCCTGAGCTGTGGGTGGGTGCGGCTCTGTATAGGAGTCCCATCCTACATTCTACAGTCTCTTGTTCTCCAAAACTTGGCCAGATGTGGCCTTCTGTGTGCATGGTACTGTGATGTACAAGGGAGCCTCACTGGTGAAAGTTGAGGGGTGCATAAAGCCCTCTCTCTATACCTTATTCCATTATGTTCCATGGACTTAAGTTGTAGAGATTTGACTGCAGATGTGTCACCTAGTACTGGGCATCTCCCAGACATATGTCCCCTACTCTGCAGTAGCCTCAATCTGATGCAAAAGAAGCTTCTTTGATGAGTGCTTGTCACCCTAAGGGAGGTCTCTTCTATCTGGCACTACATTCCCTGTCAAACAGCTCCCAGGTATAAATATGCATTAATGTCCAGACACTCTATGTACAGTTCTCATAGGGTTTTTAGGGCATCACCTTTCCCTCTAGGTTTCCTAGCACCCTGAGATTTACTCATCTCTACTCTTTTTTCTCCCATCCAACTTCCCTCCTCCCTCCCTAGTCATAGTACCCCCAATATCCCCACCCTCACCCAATACTTCCAGACTCCCACCATTTTTCCTCTCCTGACTTCCCACCCTCTCCCACCCCATGGTCCCTAGTTATGCCTTTCTGAGTCAGGAGTCAGAGAAGTGAGCAGAGCCAACAGAACCTCATGGCGATTTGTCAAGACTGTCTGCTCACAGGGTTTTTAAAAGATGGTGTCTCACTATATAGCATGTGCTGGCTACAAACTCTGTAGATATCATGGGATAGCCTTGAAATCACAACCCTCCTGTCTTAACTTTCTAAGTCCTGGAATTATTAGGGTTGGAATAAATTTTAGTACTAAAACAGCTAACAGCTAAAGGTTGAGTCACTAGAGAAGGTAAGTAAAAATCTGACAGATCTCAGCAGACCGCAAGAGAGTGCTGAGTTCTGGCCTCCCTCTGGCCTTCCTCTGGCAGAGGGCCTGAGAATGCAGGAGATTGCTTGAGAGCCCCTGGATCCTGCCTCCACCTGGTGGTGAGAGTCCCCTAATTGTATCATACCCATCCCCCTATCTGAGATTTCCTGAGGCCCCTTGCAAGGCCCCAGGGCCCATCTGGCTTGGGTAGGCTAAGGCTGAGATACTAGCAGACAGCCTGAGAGGGTGGGTTTCAACCTCCCTTAGTATTGTGGCTCTGGTCTCATTAGACTGCCAGAGAGTGCTGAGTTCGGGCCTCCCTCTGGCATAGGGGCTGAGAATGCAGGGAACTGCCTGAGAGCACCCAGATCCTGCCTCCACGTGGTGAAGGAAGCCTGAGTGTACCTGAATAGAGCCTGAATTGGGCTTCTGTGGGTACTCCTGAATAGTTGATCTGAAGCCATCAGTTTATTCCAAATTAAACCTGAGAGAACCTGGATCCTATACTGACCAGATTTACATAACCAATACAGAAAGGATCTAGGCACTCCGATAATACAAACAGAAGCATACTTCAACTTAATTCTCACATCAGAATCATAAACAACAAAAGATATTCACATGCTAAAACCACAACAAAAGAATAACAAAATGAAAGCCAAAACACCAAACTTTCCCAATTTCCCCACCAAACTCCACGAATTCTGTAGAACATTTTGACAAGGAGAACCCCCTAGAGATAACCCAGGATACTGAATTTAAAAGAACAATCATAAACATGATCAAGGAATTCAACAAATTGAAAGAACACATGAACAAACAAATCAAAGTGCTAAAAGAAGACAGGGATAAACTTCTGAATGAATTCACAAAAGAGATAGAAACATTGAAGAAAACTCAGGCAGAAATGAAGAAGAAAGTGCAAAACTCAATAAGCCAACTTGAAACAACAGGGGTAATCCTCACTGCTAGAGTGAATGAAATAGAGGATAAAGTTGAAGAATTGGTCCACTCAAGCAAAGATTATAGAAATTAAAAAAAAAAAAACAGAGGGAAAAAATAAAAAAAAATAAAAACCACAGGAATGGAATATGTAAGAGATGTGGGACACCATGAAAAGACCAAACCTAAGGATCATAGGAATAGAGGAAGGAGAAGAATTTCAGGTTAATGGTATTGACCAGACCTTAAACAGGCTTCTAGAAGAGAATTTCCTGAAATTAAGGAAAGACATCCCCATATAAATACAGGAAGCATATAGAACACCAAATAGACAGGATCAGAAAAGAAACTCCCCATGACATATCACAATAAAAACACTAAATGTACATAACAAAGAGAGAATACTGAAAGCACCAAAAGAAAAACAAGTCACATACAAAAGAAAGACCATCAAAATTGCAGCTGATTTATCAATGCAAACCATGAAAGCCAGAAGAGCCTGGACCAAGGTATTTCCAGTTCTACATGACAATAGATGCCAG